AATAAATATATAAATATATAAATATACGAAAATTCATATAGGTTTTTGTAATGTTAATTTTTCCTATCTGTTTATGTAGTAAGTAATAAACTAGAGCTTGTTTTAAAATCTACTCTCTAAATCATTTAAATATCCTTATGTTTGTCCTTGCGACTCCTGATAAGATCGCACAGATCAGTAGATTCAGTTCCTTAACTAAATTTAAATGACTGACGAAAGCATTGTCTCAATAGACATTGTAACGACCATTTGGTCCATTGATTGATATTTGAGATTTACACAGATATGTTCGATTTCTAGCATATCTTTCCAGATAATATCTTAATTTACATACAATATTTGATATGAAATTATCTTAATTAAACGACAATACATTTAAAGAATGGTGTACTACATGTTATACTGTTTATTCACGTCAATATTTTTTAGAGCAATAAACAAATTTTTTTTTAATAAAAAAGTATTAACGCAAATGAATACAGCTAATTTTATTGTAAAACATTTGTATAAAATATTTTTTAATATCTCGAATAGTTTTCGAGAGATAATGAAAAAGCTGAAAATCACTTTACATCATTACTTAAAAGAGATGATTTCACCTCTTCAAACTTTTTTCGCTGTAATTGATATTTTCTAAATTCATTTTTTTACCTTAAATGTACATAAAGTAGTTTCAATAAAATCAGAGTTTGACTCGCGAAGTTCCCTTGTAAGTAAAATTATGATTCAAAAACTATCTCATTACGGTGTAATCTTTTATTATATATAGTAAATAGATGTATAAAACGCGAATGACCTCACAAGGGTGAGTGAAAAAAATAAGTGTGAGTAAAGAATATATATATCATTTTTTCTATTAGCTCGTTGAAAATTTATAAATAATTTCTGTCATGAATTCGTAGCTTCCGTATGCGATGTTACGATATAATGAAACGATACCTCATTATAATTTCCTGTTGTAATTAAACATATCGCAACGCTTGAAAAAAACTCATGTGGGAAGATGAAGAACTTCGAAATATTTGCAACAGATTGTTATCTTTAATAAATCAAATGACATACAAAGGCCAATCGCAGCAATTCTCAATTGTTTTCTGCAACAACAAACTTTGATTCTCATACCCTATTGATTTAAATGTAATAATTCGCAAGGACACGTATTACTCCTAAGATATAACTTCTTCTGAGGATCGCAGTATTTAACGTGTTCAACGGCGCATCGTCCTTGCGATTGGCTTTCCTTTTTCTCAATCTCTTGTCTCGCTTTACAAAGAGTAGCTCGCTCGTTTTCGATTGTCGAGCTTACACATGTACACAAATTTAACATTCACGCACGCATACACACACGCGAGAGCACGCTAGGAGGAAAAAAAAGGAAAACGCAACGCGCGGAAAGATAATCAATCAACTCTGTTCAATTCACTGAATCGCTGAATCTAAGTAACATCTAATTTAACGCTGTCGAAATTCTAATGGCGCCACCACTCTTCCGTCTCGTCTCTACCTCCGTTCCGGTTCTCCTTCTTTCTTTCTCTCTCCTTTTTGGTTCACATGTATCGCCTCTGTTGTTTTGTTTTCCCTTTCTCTTTCGTGAAACAACACTTGACTCCAAACCCAAGTTTTGGACCACTCAAAATGAACGAAATGCAAGTCCAAAGTAAAGGAGGAAAAATATATAGCTTTAATATAGGTGAGAAAGGACAGGGAAGATTTGACTGAAATCGAAATTGGGAATAAGAGGAATGAGGAGATGAATGGAAAAAGCTGAATTCGCAAACTTAATTGATCATTGTAATAAATGCTAAAAAAAGAAAGAAAAAAGATCAGCCGGCTCAAAGGCCAATTCAATATAATCTTCGCTATTAATAACATCAGTACACAACTAGCGCTCTGATATAATAATAAGTATTAATAATTAATCATAGTAGTAATATAAGAAGAATACTTATAATATTAAGAATAATGACAATATAATCGTAATAATAATAATAATAATAATAATGACAATAAGAATAATCGCAGCAACGATGCGGTTTTCATTTTTAGGTTCCTGAATACTCGCCGCAGCCATATTGAATCGTGACGTCGTAAGCGAAAAAAGTTAAACTTTCTTGCATACCATTTATAAATAAAGAAAATGTGAAAAAAAACAAAATAATCAGATCGCTTTAAAACATTTGTAAAAATGGGTAAAGTATCCCTACCTACCCCTGACAGTCAATAAATAGTCGTAAAAGATACGTGGAGTGAAATAATTACGCATGCGCATTGAATAAACGCACTTCACGTGTCTTTATCATCTTTTACTTATTATTTATTGACTGCCAGGACAAGTAAGGACAGCCATTCATCCATTCATTTTTACAAGTATTTGCAATCTTATTATTTTTATCTTATTATTTTATTTTATCTTAATTCTTTCTTTATTTATAAAAGACATGTAAGACACTTTAATGTGTCATTTCTCGCTAATGACATCACGATCCAATATATTTGCAGCGACTATTCAAGAGATTTAACTTTTTCTTTTTACGAACTTCGCGCAGCGAGAAAGTTTCTATTGCGATTGATGAGTAGTCGTCCCGCAACAAAAGATGTAGATTACATCCTGTTTATAGCGCAAATGTCGGATAATCGCTACACATAATTGTCGTTCGCTACGCATATCTATGACAAAGCTATGTGATAATAGCGCGTGACAATGGATAACAGTGATGGTGTGTGTGTGTGTAACTTTACCAAATATACAAAAACACAAGTATATGGAACTCCATCGCAACTTTGCTGATACTTTTAATACTCTAGCAAAGAGGTCTTTCGTTCACCAACCGCGCAACGTTCATTCGTAAAACAGCAAACAAAACATCAAAAGCTACTCCGTAACAGCTACCCTTTTTGTTATATGTATTACCAAAGAAAATTAAAAAAAGAAAAACAAAAAACCAAAGAACATACGATAGAGATAATCAATAGTCATATAAAATGCGTTAATTTATGTGTGGCAATAGTAGTATTAATCTTTTGTGTTGCTTTACTTCGATAGTACTTCTCCCACTAGACACGATTCAACATATAGAAAGTTCATCGTAATTATTTAATAATTGTTTTATTATTTATAATTATTCTCTTAAAGCTGTCTAAAGACTCACTGCGTGGCAGGAGTATCATTTTTTTTTCTTCTTTCATTTATTTTATATTACTTTGCTTATTCTTACATGTATCAGACGGTATCTTCATTTCTGTTTTCTTTATATCTGTTTTTCTTTCTTTGCGTTTTGTTTAGTTAGGTACGTTTGTAGTTGTCCTCACTTGTTAATAACACATTTGTGTTTTGCACGCTGTATTGCGCGTATGCATTTAATAAGACAGCGTCTCCTTTTTCTAGTCACACCATAGAAGGATGTGTGTGTACGTATATATGTATATATATATTTGTGTGATGTTTTTTGTGTGTGTGTGTGTGTGTGTATCTATATATATATTTATATCTTAAATATCTACTACTTCTTGTAGATGTTTTCGTGATTTGTAATTTGTATAGATCACAATATCATACCATCTGCGCCATTAAACGATTTTTTTGTGACTTTTATCTCCCGTTCTCATTTACAATGCTCCTTTGAACACTATACAATGTGTCTGCACAGATTGATTCTTGCTAATCTCACTCCGCCTTTGAAAAAAATCAATTAAATTTTATGACGAATATAAAGTATGATCATGTATAAACTTGTCAACGAAAAATGGAATATATTATTTTATCCATTTCATTATAAGATAACAAGATATGATATGATACACATGCACACACATGTACATACAACAGAGCGAGTTTTACTAAAAAGTATCATTACTAACAAATCTTAAAATTATATTACCAACAATCTTAAAATATATAAGTTTTATAAAAAAAAATATCTCGGATAAAATTTGTTTAGTTGAAGGAGACATTCTGGAGTCAATACAGTTCCGAAATTTCAAGATCACGTCAATTTTTTAAAATTAAACTAAGTGTATTTTTTTTTACATAAATCGGATTTTCCTCATTATCCTGCAGAAAAAAATATTAATCTATATTTTATAGATTGAGATTTTAAAGATATCTTATATTTTTGTCATGATACATTCTAACACAAAATATAAAATATCTCATAAATACTTTTCAATATCCTTATGTTAAGATTTTACATTTTATATATGAACAAGAAAATTTTCAATTAATGTTCTAATTTTTTGCATAGATGCAATACATTTGCAATAAGTAATTGTACTCTTTCTTTAAATGTGATTACTTATCTTTTAAATCGATTTTTGTTGTCATTTTATACATAAAATTTTTAAAAAATTATTAAAAAATAAATGCGAGTATGTAATGTATTTCATACAGAGATGTTTTATATATCAGAATCGAGATAAAATATAAAATATTTTATTAATTACTATGACTTTGAATGTCAATTTCTTTCATGTTCATAATGATGAAGAAAATTGATTTATGTAAAAAAAATATACAGTTTTATTTACAAAACTATGAACAAACTAGAAAATTTTTGGAATCGATTTTTATCTGGACAAAATATTCAAACATCGTGTAAATCTGGGATTGAGATAATCATAGATTCTCATTTCAAACTAAATAAACTTAATCCAAAAGATTTTTCCACGATACTTATATTTTAAGATTAATTGGGAATTGTATAATTTCGTGTACAATTTACACGCACGCACGCACGCACGCACGCGCTCTCTCTCTCTCTCTCCCCCTCCCTCCCTCCCTCCCCCTCTCTCTCGCTATGTGTATGTGTTGTGTATGTGATGTACACACATATAAGCTGTTTAATAATGCACAATCATCTCTGTAGATAGAATTGACTAAACTAAATCGATAAGTTCTGTATCATTTTACAATTTTCGTAATAATTAATGACATAATCATTAAAAAAGATTCTCAAATAAGTATGGCGATGCTTAAATAAGTGCGTCCGAAGAGACAGCTCAGCTTTGCATATGCATATGTTATGTGTAGTTACTAGGAACGCAGTGAGATGTTTAAAAGTCTTAGTGACATTTGCTAAGCAGAAGCAATTTGTAAACATCATGCTGTTCGTATAGAGCATACTTCCAAATATCTCACTACGTCTCTTCATGCAGATCACGCTCATTTATTGATTTTTTTCTTTAATTATTTCATTAAAAATTGCAAAAATTATAAAATGATACAGAACTTCTCGATTCGAATTTGGCTCCTCTAATTATCTATAAATGAGATAATTCGCAAATTATGAAACAATCCTATGTGTGTGCATGCGTGCATGTATTAATCATAAGTGTTTAAAAGATAGAATAAACAATTAAGTTGAAGAATGTACTTAAAACGAATAGAACCGAGGATCTTGCTTTAATGTTTTTTACCCACTCGTGCGTACTTAAGAAATTGTTATTGTATAATTTATATTTCATATATTCATCAAAACTTACGTGCTAAGTAAATTCAGTCCAGCCGAAATTGTAATTTTAGAAGAAAATGCAACTGAGGAATAAATTTTATCGAAATATAATAAGTTTATCTAGAAAATAAATAAAATTTTATTCATCTCATATGAAAACACGAACACGCCGATTACGTACTCAATTCAATTGCAATTTCAATTAAATACGCTTCTTTTTAAATAGTTTTTTAAATATGTATGTATTTTTTTCTTTTTCTACGATTTGCTCTTACCGTTTATTCGCACCAGTGCGAAAAATATAGATTTAGATCAGTTTGTCATTTCAATCGGAAGAAAAACAAAAAAGAAAGTATGTATATACAGGATGATCTGCTTACATTGGAAACTTTGAATATTTCACTTATGTTTGATAATAAACAAAAAATAAATTCAGATGAAAGTGGAATAGTTTTAAAGTGGACGTATTTTAATCACATTGTTTTTCAGGTGAAGACACCAAAAAGATATGAATATGATATGATTTTTTTACTATAATTTCTTTTTTTAATACAATTCCTCTAATTATTCTGCATATAAAAGTATTAAGGTAGAAATATCAACAAAACAATAGTTTACGAGATATTTTATATTTTATTTTGACACATAATTGATATAAAATATTAAATATTTCGTAAACTATTAATTTTTTGATAATCGTATCTTAACTCTTATGAATAAAATAGTAAGATGAATTAATTAATATAAAGAAAATATATAGTTGCTTTAAAAAAATATGTAGGCAAAATGAATCTTTTAAATATGCAACTGTGTGTTTTCTTTACATCAATTAATTTATCTTATTATTCTATTCATAAAAATATTACGATATGATTATAAAAAAAAAACCAGTAGTTCACGAGAATTTAATATTTAATGTCAATATGCATCAGAATCAAATATATCTTCGAAAATATTGGTTTTTTAATATCTCTATTTTAATACTTTCACATGCTGAATTAAAGAAATCATATTATGTTACACTGTTTGAAAGTTATCTCCATATAATTTTCTCAATATTTTAGCCGTAATTTGGATATTTCTTTGTATTTTTCTCCTAAAATGTTATCTAAAAATTCTCCTAAATTTTTTGTATCCCTAAAAAATCCTTCAGTGAGAAAAAAATTAATATTAAATTGGCAACACTAATAATGTAAAAAAAAAAAAAATCATAATTTCATTTAAAAAAGTGGAGATGACCTTTATATTTTTTTTGAAGTCTACATTTAGAAAAAAATAATGTGACCATACGTTCTCGGAATCATTTCAATTTTATCTGAAA